ACTTCAATCGTTATCTGACACGGCGGCGGAGGATAGAGATCGCCCATGCCCTCTGCCTGACGGAGAGGCAGATCAAAATCTGGTTCCAAAACCGGAGGATGAAGTGGAAGAAGGAGCACAAGGAAGAGAGCTCCAGCATCCCGGCTTCCAACGAGCCCACGTCAGCAGCAGCCTCTGTCGAAAAAGTGGAAGAAGACGAAGAGGAGGAGGACTAAGGAGTCCCAGTCGAGGAAGCGATCTCTTAGTATAATGTATGCACGTGACAGTTGGAAAAGCTCCCTTTGAGGGGGGGAGGGAGGGAGAGACTCACTGTTTTTATTAAAAAAAAAAAAAAATCAGTTCCCTTTAATAATCATCTTGCAAGCGAGCGTTTGCAAACATGAGAAGGTTTCTTGGGGTGGTTTTCCAGCCTTCTCTCCACTCTTCTGTGCTCCCCAAACCTGCCCTTTGCCGAACCTTTCGGTGATATTTCCTAAGAGCATCCTACAATCATTTGTTTTTCCGTTCACCCAAACCTGGGTGGGTTTGTCCAGGGGACATTTCAGTGGGAGAACTGCTGCTTGCACAGATAGTAAACCGTGACCTTCCGAAGTAACTACCTGACTCAATAGTCCAAATCATGTGTAAGGGGAAAAGTGCATTAGGTTCACGTCAAGAAAAACTACCTAATTTTGAATAAGTAGCTCTGCACTTCTCTTTTTTTCTTTTTTCTTTTTTTTTTATTATTGTTAAAAAAGTATCATAACTAACACCTACACTAACAAAAGGTTAAACAGCAAGTAAGGGAAAAAAAAAAAAAAAAAAGATGTTCCACAAACCACTACAATCTACAGCAATTATTTGTACTACCTATTTTCCAGACTACCTATATATCTTGCTCCGCCTACCTATCTTCTAAAGTATACTGTATTTTAGTAGTCAAAAGAAGATAACATTACTAATGTGAATCGCAAAATGCTTTTAGAAATGTAAGTGTAGTCGTTTGAAAGCACGCATCAATAGCTTTGGTATAGAATTTGGTACCGAAAAGGCTGAATATATTTAAATTTAAAATAATATATTTATTCCAAAGCAATTATAAATGAAAACCATATGCTGCAATATATCTTTGCTCTCGAATCTTTACTATTCCGAGTGAGGAAGTGAACACATGCCAATATTGTACAAAGCGGTTTGATATCTCCCGTTGGCTTCTACCTTCGGCTGCCTCTGCTAAAGGCCGTTTTCTTATTCTAGGTTGATCTTACTTAATATAGTGAAAAGTGGTCTTTGAAACGTGAATTTAAATGACCATCTAACCACCTTTAAAAAAAAAAAAATCCTGTTTGTCCTGATTATCCGAACGTGTTAATACGTAATACCGTGAATTTTCCTACAACAGCAGATACTGTATATTTGAACGCTTTTTTTGTCATTTATATTCGTCTTAGAGCTCATTTGTAAGATCATGTCATAAATTGGGAAGTATGTAATTAATTTGAAAACTTTGTAGCATGATGTATGGTTAAGAACTCTGTATAAATCCGTCTTGAAGATTTGGCTAAAGTTTATTCAAAAATTGTATGTTACAATGTGTTTCGATGTGTTCGTTGTGAACATTTGGATATGCCGTGTAAGTATTGGAAGTGGAAAAAAAAACCCGTCTGTGAACTCTCTTTGGAAGTGATACCGTGTTCAAGTATCTCCCACGATAAATGTGTTTTATGTTACACAGAATAATAAATATGCTTGTTGACAATGAATTGTGTTTCTTTATTAGGGAAACAATTAGAAGGAAGCATAAAAAATAATTTACATACACAAATAAAGAAATTAGACCATACTTTCTTTTTTCCCCCCCCGTAATCAGAAGGAGAAAAAAAAAATCCAAGGTGACGAATTGATGAGTCAGTCAATTTCTCTATCTCGACTTCGTGATTTTTTTTTTTCCCTAACGCAGTTGATTAATAAAGCGGAAAACCTTCTTTAGGGGAGGGCTTCCTTCCACCGTATTCTTGTGTCCTCTTAAAATCATAACCCCAGTCCAAGCGTCCGGCGATCAAGCCGAAATCGCGTGCAGTGAAATAATATTTGGTACTGAACAGAAAGTGCGATGCGAAACTTCCAAGTGTAAATGATCTGGTGGCATACGTGTGCGGTTTGTGCGTGCGGTTTTTGGGGTGCGGGGGGCATCAGGGTGGTGTTTAAAAGGAGAAAAAATCGCCCGGTTTTAGGAAAGGTGCCATTTCTGCCAGGTACGGTGTAATGTCAAGGAGATCTAATATTTTAAATTTTTTTTTTTTTATAAAAAAAAAAAAAGGAAAAAAAGAGGAAAAAAAAAAAAGAAAAAAAAAAAGAATCTCGCTCGAAAAGTCCCTTTATTCGACCGGGTAAATATAGGTTGAACAAGAGCATCATTTGCACAGAAGTTCCCTTTTTCTACTACACTCTGTTCCTGGTCAACGTACTAATTGTAATTTTAATAAAATTAGTACAAACTCCAGGTCTTTTAAAAAAACTCCAGGGCTGCCTCTGTGGTAAGATGGCGCCTCTCTAAGACCTGCCTCTTCTTAGTGATGAGGAAAAGGCCATAAATCCGTTGTTGTTTATGAAAATTTACAACTTTGCAATACAACTTTATGAGTTGTTCGGTTTTTCCATTGGTCGCTGTCGGTCATGTGGATGGTAACCGTGAACATGAACTTTTTTATAATTTCCCTTGCGAGAATAGAGCCGCATTCTTTTGCTGAGCTCTGTCCTGCTTCGGATCTCTCTGGCTTTCAATCCCCATTTCATTTGTTCTTTGTAAGGCAATAGTGAACAAAGTGTGCGGAGGTTCGGCATAAGCAGCCGCCTAGAACACAGATCCGGGATGGCAATTTCCAGTTCCCCCGCTGGAAGGTGTGGCATATTGGATTCAAAGCACTGGCGTGGCAGATTTTCAACTTGCAACCTGGCTAATTTCCTGCTTCTTCTGGCACCAAAAGGAGGGCGATTCGTCTCCTGTGCAGCCAAAGCGACAGCTGTCAAAGTCGCAGGGGCTCCTGTGAGCCAGAACCTAAAAGGTGAGAAATGTATATGACACTACCGTGAGCAGGGAAACATGGTTTAATACGTTTAAATATTAGACATGTGCAATTAAACCAAATGGAAATCTTACCAGCCAAAAATAGAGGTGGCTGCAGCTCAGTTGATTTCAACTTAACCAGTGCATGCAAAAATATAATTAAATAAAATGTCTACTTTCTATTATCTAGCAAGAAGACGTGGATTTTTTTTTTTCCCACGAAGTTTATTTCTGTTTGCATTTGCCAGGGGGTTGTTGTGACAATCAGGTTATTTTATAAGAATTCAGGTTTACAGCATAAATTCGAGGGGATTTTTTTTTTTCCCAGCACGAGGAAAAAAAAAATGAAACCCCCAAACATTATTTTTTTTTTATTTCGCAGGATTAACTTAAAGTTCATTTGCGGCAACTGAAATTTAGATGCAATTTAATCTTTACTATTTCAGGGAAAAAAAAAAAAGAAAACAAAAAAAAAGCCAAACAGCAGTCAGCACAATGTCTCCTGGCTCCCCTGGCATGTCCAGCGGAGAGATTATTTCTAGACGGGGGGGAAACAGCGCGAATGTGTCTTTGATTTTCTGTATCAGATCAAGCGCTGCCTGCAAAAAATCCCCGTGTCGTGGGTCCGTCGGAACAGCGTTCCTGGCGCTTTCCGGCGTGGGTATCTTGCCCGCCTGGGCTGCGCGGAGCCGGCTTTGCAGCGGCTGCACCGATTTCGGCGCCGGAGACGGAGCTTTTTTTTTTGCTTTT